AAAGAGAGAGACAGAGACATAGAGAGAGAGCAAGTTTATATCTCTGTGTACTTTGGGGATGAGTAGAAATATGCAGTATCAACGCACACATGAGAATATCCTACATATAGATAGAAACAGTGCATTTCCTGTTAAAAGTCAGACCTGATAATTCCAGGCATACATTTACCCTGCTTACATTTGCTGATGGAATAAGAACATGCAATTCTAAGGATTTACTACAAGCATAATATTTCTTTGCTACTTTCTTAAATTTTTTTTTGAAACTTCACACATGAGCACTGCATCTAAAACAGTTCTATCCTCAGCTTCCCTGTTCCAACTACCAACTTCTCTGTGCATCTCCTTTCTCCTGACTTCCTCCCAAATTCAAGAACTCTTCTTCTTTAGTTATTTTATATATAAAGCACTTCATACCTTCTATATCTCTTCTATATTTCAATAGGTATGGTTTTATTTGAATTGATGTTGTGTCTCATCATGTAATTTGAAATGTTATAGACTATGTTGGAACAGAAACTATAAGGTAAATATTATATGATTTTTATAAATATGCATGTGTATAATTTATTAATATTTAGTATAATTTTCCACATTCACAAAACATCAAGCTATTTAAATGTGGTATGTGTCTATTTGTCTTTTAATATAAGAACTCTGTATTTGATATTTCAAAATAGTGTAAACTAAAGAGAAGAGAAGCCATTACATTGCTCCAACTGATTTGGATCCAAGATTTTTGTATGTTAAGTGAAATTGTGTGCTTTCAAGCATAATCAACAAATACATAATATCACTAATCTGGATGAAATATTTCCTGACATTAGACTATAAAAGTAACAGTAATAAATTTAGATTTCTCAAACTAGCAGTGCAATGAAAACTTTCAACACATGATGTGTCTAAGAACACACCTGGCCCATTACTGGTAGCTGGGATAAAAGGATTTTATAATCTATTAATGGCTACAGTACCAGTAAAAGCATGGTTCTGTGTTTAAAACATAAACATGAAAGTAACACAAGTCTTCCACATAAGCTTAGCTGTGGGGTCTCCTAAATCCACAAGAAGAGAAGGGCATAAACCAATGGTAAACTATCAAAGCAAGTAATACAGCTGATTGAAAATACAGTTGAGTGCTCCCAGCAGATGAAGGTGTGGATTTCTCCATACATCATCTTAATGGCAATATTTTCCACAAAGAGACATGGCACACTTCTTTCATATTTCATGAGTTCTATTTGCCTGACTTCAAAATGCCAAATGTGCTGGTGAACAGTGCCTTAATATTCATGGGATTTGCAGATGGCTTTGACAGTTGTCAACTAGAGGAATGGCTTCATCAGCAAGGAATCTGACTTATGGTTTCCGGCACACATAAAATCACGTAGTCATTCGCATATGCATTTTCTCTGAAAGGTATTCTTTGCATAGTTATCTTTTGTGAAAATTATATGGATATAAATCCTTTATGCAACAGAAAGATATTTCAAATACTCCTTGGCTTTATGTTGAATAGTCTAGGGAATTTTATTAGCTCCAGACATTTAAAAATTGTCCTACTTTTACAAATGCAGTTGGAAAGACACAGTTCAGTAAGTATCCTGAAACATCTCAAGAATAGACTCCATCCCAACACAAGTTGCACATCAATGGGGACAATTTTTACCTCTTCTTCTTATATAGTTCAAACACATATTTAATTGTTTAGTTTAGGACAAAATATTAGGGCATCTCTGTTCATCTCAAAGGGTTTACAGTTTGTTTCTTAGGCATATTCTAAACATTTTGTCCATGGAACTATAAAACAAACTGAAATTTCCTCATGCAGGTCATTGCTGTCAATCCTAAAAGTTTTATAATTTTTTTCACACAACGGTGGTAATTAATTTTACATTGAATATATTTTGTTCACACACATGTACTTTATGATAATTCACAATAGGTGTTAGTTCACTGTATGAGTAGAGAGAATCAGTGCTATAATTATCAAGGAGCTTAGGCTAGACCTATCAGCTGTTTGGTCCCTTTCCAAACTTTAGTCATGCTTTAGCCTAAGCACTATATGAACATTATCTTGATTAACTAGGTGCCATAGTCAACCCATTCTGTAGATGGAGTAAATAAAATAACCCACTGAAGATTTCTGCACCGGCAAATGGTTGAAACCCGGTGAGGACCTGGGCCATCTTACTCCACAGCCTGAGCTCCAACAGTACTCTCAACTCTCAGAATGTGAACCTCAATGAGAACTGAGGTGACAGTCCCACCCCAGTTCTCTTCTCACACTTTGCAAGACACAAGTTATTTCTATTGAGCAATAACTAAATTGTGCCTGGAAATACTGTCTGGAGATTTTATTCTTTCAACAGTGGAACCCAATATACAGATGATATGAAGTTTTGAAGTTCAGTGTGACATTTTTTCTGTTTTTCTTAGTTTAAAAAACTATCCTTTTAGTTTTAAGTAACAAAGTTGTGGTGGCATCCCAGAGAACGGTGAGGGGAGCTGCAGTACTGATATCAATTAACTATACATCCTTATTACCTGGAATTTCACTATTGGATTTACACTTATGAGAGTACAAAGTCCTAATGAGTATGTATAACAGATGATAATACTTCAGCACTGCACAGGAAGAAGACACCTTTATCAGTTTAATGTTCAGCAAAGCCTACCTAAGGAATTCCACACTACCTAGAGATGCACAGCAAGACCCATTCTGAAAACAGACAAACACAAATACAATATTAAAGAATGCTAATATTTCGACTTCCCTGAGAAAATGGGCAGAGAAGGTTAGACTTTCTTCCAAGTGTCTTCACTGTGATTTAGCATGGGCCAGATTATCTTAATCTGTGTTTGTAGCTGACTGTTTAAAAATATAAATAACTCAAATTCTGAGAGTCACCAAAACCTTGGATTTGAAGTCACCAAATTTGGAGTCACCAAAACCTTGAGTCAGAAGAGGGCATAGTTGTCCTTATCTCAGCATTTCCCTAGCTATCCCCATCTCATCCATTTGGACATTCTTTCTAGAAACATCTAAATTCTCTCAGCTCTATTCTCTACCCATTTCCTGTGTATTAACTCACAGAAAGTCTAGAGCAAGACCACAGTCTTCACCAGGAAACAAATGCCTTCCCAGGTCTTCTGTGATTAATTTGAGATAGGGATAGGCTATTGCTAGAACCTCCTAATATATATATATATATATATATATATATATATATATATATATATATATATATTAGGAAGCTTCTACAGTAGTAGGTTTTCATATTACATTTCATAATGTCTTTAATGTTAGTCATCCTTCCTGTATTTGCTCCACTATGCTGCCCTCTCACTCCAAACTCCATTTCATTCTTCCTAGTCTTCCTTTGAAAGCTGACCCCCATGACCCCCATGTATAAACAAATATACATATATATGCATAAATAGTATGCATATAAGATGGAGTTGATGAACAAATAGCAAAGCATGGTACAAGGAATGAGTTATCTTTTTTTTTTTTTTAGATGGTGGCCAGTGGTGTCCCATAACCTCCCACACATTATTAGCTATTGCCCATGTTCTGGATTACCCTCAAGAACTTGACAGTAAGTTCTTACTCCTGAAGCTGTTATGTACTTGAGTCTTAGGAAATGGAGAATTTAAGCTGATGCTGGCATGGGAGCTTCATCAATCCTGGTTAGCATTGACAGTGTTATACTTAATGCTAGAGGAGAAATGTAATCATTAATCACACTCATCTGTGAGCATTGTGAGCTACAATAATGACTGAATTGGGGGAAAATGCCCACTGGTGAATTATGATATGAATGTAATGGAAATAACCACCAATTTCTGATTGGTCTTAAGACTTGTTCTAGGAGACAAAACACAGACTTGGCATGGCTTTTGTGGCCACAATGAGTTTATTTTTTATCATTAAACTTTGAACATTTTTTTCTGTCATGCTGATATTGAGTTTCTTTTCTTAAGGACATGAATCTGAGTATAGGAGAAAGAGACAAGAATTATATGACTAATAACAGAAGCTTTAAGAACTCAAAGCTCCAGAAATAAATAAAAACAAAGTACATATTATTTGTACATTTACACAGACATATTAATACACATATATGTATGTCAGTTAAGGTATGTCAGTCCCACACATGAAACCAAGTAAAGCAAGAAGAGACTAAATTTCAGGCACATATGCATCTATAGAACACTCTCTAAGCAACCCAATCTTCTGATATCCTCAATCTCTATCTCCCCATCCACCCAAGAAAGAAAAGGGTAACTCCTAAGAAACTTACACAGTATTAAAGAACTGTGCTTACAAAACTAGGTTGAGCACACAGGCTAACTTGCAACCCCTGCACTTGGGAGGTTGAGCCAGGGGAAAAAAGAGGTTAGGGCCAGCCTTAGCTACATACTAAGTTCCAGTCTAACCTAAGCTGAATGAGATACTACCTCAAAGAGCCATTAAAATAATAATAAAGCTACATAGTCATTTTCTTTCATAACTAGACGGAGGAGGGAAGTAAAATTTTAAAAGTCTAAGAATGCCTTTAAGGCCAAAAAAATAAGTCCATTTTAAAAATTGAGCCAGAAGGGACACCATCACTGGCCCTCAGAAATAAAAGAAAATAGCCTTAAGGGTCATGTTGGATTTATTTTTGTCTAGTTCCGTGTGCTTTTTGGATTTTGGCTTTTAGTTTTTCGTTTGTTTATTTGTCGTTTGATACACAGAAAGGTATAGGGAGAAAAGACATCCATCCATCTCTTGCTTCCTTCAGTATGGACTAGAGTAGTGGGTTTTTAGTAAGCCTGATAAAAATCGTTGAGCCATTTACAAGCCTATCAGCCGCCTAGGAACTCCGGGTCTGTTCTTAAAGCCTCAAGCGGAATGCTGTAAATTACTGACTGCCAGAGGTTTTTTTAGCTTAAAGGGGAAGTATGCGATGTACTGCCTACCCGCAAACCCGGCCGCCTTTAACACACGCGTAACTGCCTAAGACGCAGCTAGAGAGAACAGTAGGTATGCTTTGGCACTGAGGCACTTTGAATGGCCCACGGCATGAGCAACTTGAGAAGCCACAGTCTGCAGACGTATTCTGATCAGCCTTTCACAGGAGTGCGATTCAATCTCTCTTCACAATCCAGGACTTTCCCTGCCAGTTTCTCGGTTTAAATGACAGCCATGCCGGGATCGGTGATCCAGACCACCATCAAGACCAAGGTCTCGCCAGGCCTGGAGTCTCTGACTGTCGTGGGGTCCCCTCGGGCCTTGTTCCGACCCCTGGGCCTTCTCCGCCTGCTGCAGCTGGTTTCTACCTGTTTGGCTTTCTTACTAGTGGCCTACAAGGGTGCCTGGATGGGTGCCATGGCCAACTGGTGCCTGTTCTCCTGGTGCTTCTGTTTCTCCATGACCCTGCTAGTCCTCATCCTGGAGTTGGGTGGATTCCAGAGCCGCTTCCCCCTGTCCTGGCTGGATTTCCCCATCACCTGCGCCTCCTATGGTGTTCTCTTCTGCCTGTCCTCTTCCATCATCTACCCTATCACCTGTGTGCGGTTTATGGCTCATGGGTCTGTCAGAAAAAGCGCCGTCAGCGCCACAATCTTCTCCTGCATCGCCTGTGTGGCTTATGTAACAGAAGTGGCCTGGACCCACACAAGACCCGGTGAGATGACTGGCTATATGGCCACTGTGTCCGGGCAGCTCAAGGTCTTGGAGTCCTTTGTAGCCTGTGTTATCTTCGTCTTCATCAGCAACCCACACCTGTACACGCATGAACCTGCTCTGGAGTGGTGCCTGGCCGTGTATGCCATATGCTTCGTCCTAACCATGGTGATCATCCTGCTGAACCTGGGGAATTGCAACAACATCGTGCCCATCCCCCTCCCCACCTTCTTGTGCGGCATCGCCTTCCTGTCCGTCCTCATGTACACTACCGCCGTCGTCCTCTGGCCCCTCTACCAGTTCAGTGAGGCATCTCCAGGCCAGGCCCAAAGAACCATGGATGCGACCTGTCAGTACACACGTCCCCACGCAGTGTGTGCCTGGGATCGCCACCTGGTGGTGGCGATCTTGACTGGTATCAACCTGCTGACGTATATCGCTGATTTTATTCACTCTGGCTAGCTGGTGTTTGTCAAGGTCTAAGGTTTCCAAGGGGTCCTGTGGCATGTCCCTGCGGCAAAGTCCCCGTTCTTCTTGCCCTGTTTTCTCCTGTCCCCTCTTCTTTATACCTTCTATCGGATTCGCTGTTCTTTTTCCAGTTTATTTTCTTTCCCACCATCCTGCTTTGCCCCTGAGATGTGTCTCCATAGCCTTCCGCTTTTACACTTTTGCTTGTCCAATCTACGTTTTTCTATGAGTTTTCTTGTCTCTTTATTTCCTGATCGTATCTTTCTCTTTCCTGAAAAGCCCTCAGACTCCTTACTGTGTCTATCCACTACTTCTACCACTAAAGGAGTTGGCTGCACATATCCCAGACTCCTTTGCAGCTCTTCATACCAGGTACCTAGGGGGCCTCTTGCCAAACCATGAGGAAATGCTGTTTTAAGTTTTCAGGTTTCTTCTTTAAGCACTGTTATTCTTACCTTATACGTGTCATGTTCCCTCAGTTAGTACTTAATTTTTATTTCTAACCCTAAACATTATCACATGTCAGTCTCTGACTCTCTGTCTGGAATTCCTCTTTGCTTTATTAATTACTATGGTGTGGGTTTGATCTCAGATTTAATATCTCAAGTCTTACTGATCCCACATACGCAATACCAAAGCATATTTTATTTCACGTGCTCATCTGGACACCATTATCTACTACACAGAAAGTTGTTAATAAATACAAATCGAAATCAACGTACTTATTTTAAAAGTCCAAAATATAACATCCATACAATTTATGTAAACATAAAGCTAATAGTAGCTTCTAATAAAAGCCAATATATTTTGACTTAAGATAAGAAACTGAATGTTTAATTTTGTTGTTGAATACACAGTTTGCTGTGTATAAGCACAACACACACACACACACACACACACACACACACACACACACACACACACATATATATATATATATATATATATATATATATATATATCAGTGGTTCTCAACTCGTGGGTCACAACCCCTTTGGGGATTTGAATGACTCTTTCACAGGGGTAGCCTAAGACCATTGGAAAACACAGATACTCACATTATGATTCATAATGGTAACAAAATTACAGTTTTGAAGTAGCAATTAAAATAATCTTATGGCTGGGGGGGGGTCACCACAATATGAAGAGCTGTATTAAAGGGTTGCAACATTAGGAAGATTGAGAACCACTTATATAAAGCATCACTATAAGTGGTTCTTTCATTGCATCATTTTCTACCTATATTAATATTTCCTCTGACTGTTGTACTTCATTTTGTATAATTAATGAAGCCACAACTATAATACTACTTTAAGATGTTATATACAATAAACAGTTGGGTTTTCTCCATACCTAGTCTTTTCTCACTTAAATTAAAAAATAAAACTTAGGTGATTATTAGACTTTATTTTACAAGATTATATTGGAGCTGGGCGGTGGTGGCACACACCTTTAATCCCAGCACTCAGGGGGCAGAGGCAGGTGGATCTCTGTGAGTTTGAGGCCAGCCTGGGCTACCAAGTGAGTCCCAGGAAAGGCGCAAAGCTACACAGAGAAACCCTGTCTCGAAAAACAAAAAAAAAAAAAAAACAAAAAAAAAACAAAAAAAAAGATTATATTGGAAAACACAAAGACTTTCTTAAATGTAAGAAGAGAATTTTCATAATTTTCACACATAAGTTATCAGTATTGATTTTAACTGCCAACTGAGGCTCATTTCCCAAAAATGGCACAACAATTTGTCACAGAATTGATTATATTTTCTCAACTTTCAAGATGGGGACAAAAATACAAAGCATTTAATTATTAACTAATCTTAACTAAGGAAAGCAAATGAAACTCTAACCTGGACATTCATGAGTATATCAAAAAACTTGCCAACAACTCTGGGGAAGATTTAAAAATACCTATGCATAACAGCAAACTATCTGGCAGAGTTACTACAGATCTCTCTCTAAAAAAAAGTAGAAAGGGATTTTGTGGGTAACTTAAAACAGTTTAAGTTAAGATGACAGACTATTATCTAATTTACATATTAAGACTTTTTGGCTTCAGTTTTATGTCCAAGAAAGGGAAAGAAAATTACTGAGTATGCCACCAGGGAATCTTGAAAAACTAGGGATGGAAATCTTATTTATGGGTGTTTAGGAGACAAATAGGGTATAAAACTAGGTTTCATATTTGTGTATTTTCCTAGAAACATTGGGTACATTAACAGCTGCACAGTAGGATAACGCCTATACCCAACATACCTTCTCCAATAGGATCACGCAGGATGGGGCTGTACAGAAAACATGAGCTTGCCAAGGACAGCCCTTCACAGTGCAGCTGAGAAAAAACTTCAAGAGGAAAAGTGAGAGTGGAAAGGTGTAATAAGCTCCTGGAGACTCGCACAGAAAAATACAGAAGACAGACCGCGGTAGTGAAACCACTCCGTTATTAATAGTTTTAACATGTTTTATTCCAAAGCAATCTCACTGAGAAGTTGTTTTATGTCTGTATAGTGGCTATGAGAAAGTCCCCACCACAGCTGCAAAGCTAATCTTACTTTACATTTTAAATGACAAAAATATGCTCATTCCACATGCATTTGATTGAGTAAGTAAAAAAAAAAAGTAGCAGTCTTTAAATATAATTTGTTCATGGAATAGTAATTTATGAAATAGTAATTATAATGAGCAACATTCTGTGAAACACATGCAGACTTACCTTCATGATTGTCAGAATTCATTCTTCTTTTAGATTAGTGCACTATGGATTTGTGGAATAAATGGGAGGTAGGGAACTGGGCATCCAGAGAGAAGTCACTCATTGAGTTTTGTCTAGGAAAGACATATATTTTATTATAATACCCATAATTGATGCTTTACCAGGAAAATACCTTGAAAGATTATTTCAAAGGCATTTCCCTAGAATGATGCTTCTCAACTACTTTCATCTCCTCATACAGACTCTTCAACATGAGAAGATTGCTCCCACTTTACATTTTAGAAAGCAGAGGCAGAGAGACTGAGCAACCACCAAGATTAAGGTTCTATGGTGAGAGTTTAAAAGAGCTAGGTTTGCAACTACATTAGTCATGATCTTTTCACATGCAGTACTCAGTTCCTCCAGTGATAATTAGAATAAACAAATTGCCCATGATTCATTGTATCGATGCACAAGTATCATTATTCTATGAGAATGGGTTGTAATGTAACACCATCATTTGGCTGAATTGCCTGATAGTATTATGTACTATTTTCCTCATTCCACTATAGTTATATCCTTTATAAATTAATTTAAAGAAACAAAAATATATAGTATAGTACCTTTAAAAGTTCTTAGGAATTCAAGGAAAATTGACATCAATATTTGATATTTTGGATTGTTACACAGCTCCATTTATTCATCTTACAGAATATAGATAACTGCATGTTTAGGAACTTTTATTTACTTATTCATTCCTATGAGTCAAACGATTGTAAATCATGAGAATAGAGACTGGATTGGAATGGTGTTAGTTCTCCTATGGTGCTTAACTCTGACAAAGGCAACATTTAACCTTTTTAAAGAAGTCCTCTTGCTATTGAACTTCTTAAGAATAAATGTGAGATGAGCTGTCTATTTCATTAAGGGAAAATTATTCACACACTATTCTCATACAATGAGTCAGAATATTTTCAAGAAAACAAAAAATTGAGATTTTTGAGCATAAACTGAAAGATCTTTTGTTGTAATTCTGCTTTGGATAGTTCATAAACATTTGAACTGGAGAAATCTGCTGTTGATATCCAAAATGCCATAGTTCCTTTATGCAAACTGATAGATCATCTAATATGACTTAAAGACATTTTAAAATATTTAATTTTATTTTATGTATGTGAGTGTTTCCCATAATTATATATTTTTATCATGTGCATACTTGTCGCTTGTGGAACCCAGAAGAGAGCATCAGGTCTCCTGGAACTGGACTTATAGACTATTGTTAGCCTCCCATGTGTGTGCTGGGAACCAAACTCAGATTTTTGGGAGGAGCAACAAACTCACTTAAGTGCTGATCCATCTCTACAAGCTCAATTTTTTGATTGGCATGGCAATATGCTTTTAATTAGAATTATTTCATTGAGCAAAAACTTCTTGATGACTTATTACATGTCTGGTACATTGATACTGTTGCATTTTATAGATATTGACAATAGTTCAGAAGATATGGAAGGTATAGCTTATTAAAGATGGCCCCAAATGTATTGGCATTTCCATTGAGATGTAAGCAAACTCCCTTAAATTTGGACCTATTTCTGATTGTTTTGATCAGTATAATACTGGAGAAATAGTATTATAACATTTCTTAGTCTGAAGAGAACTTGCTATTTTTACCTCTTCTTTCTTTAAAACTTTTGATCTTCATGTAAGTAGTTTAATTGTATGAGCAATTACTGAATAATTAATTACTAAACTGCAATTAAGCCAGGTCTGGCCTACTGAAAGGTCATTAGAAAAACTGTGGATATGCCAAGCAAGACTGGGCCAAATCCTAACAGATCCCCTCTTCGAACATTCACATCATGGTGTAATATTATAGAAATTTTAATCAAGAAAATATTTTTCTCCAATGTTTACTTCTCAAATTCTTATCAATATAATTAAATATCATAAAAATTTCCATAAGCATCCAAACACATGGATAATTATTTTTTAATTAATATCAAAGGATACCATAAAACTTAGGAACTCTTCACCTATTCTAATATGTAATGTTGGAACATCTGTTTAAACTATTTAAAAGTTATATTGTAAGTAAATAAGGTGCTAAAATCTGTCATAGTAACATAATTAATGAGACAATGACCTTGAAGGTTATGTATTGTATATGGCACAAAAAATAGTAACTTTCAACTTGATAATTTATATTTCTCATTTAGAATTTCTTATGATATATAGATGAAAGCATATACAGTAATGTTTACTAAAAACCTTTGCCCATTTTTTGTAACTCTTCCAAAACCAAGTACTCAAACATATCACATTCTGTCACAAACTATTTCCTTTCTGTTTTATCTTCATGTGGTGAATTTCCCTGGCAATTATATTACAAATTCGACAACATCGTTTAGCTGATTTGAACATCAAGGATTGCGGAGTGCTAGAATGTTGTAGGTTTGGAGTGAAATCAGCTTAAACTGCCCTCAGCCCACTTAATAGTTACTTTTTGCCCACTTCTGTGTTTGATCTAGTCCTCTTGTTATGTCACAATACTTACCTTTCATTAACTCAAAAGATCAGGAATATAATTAGATATCATCTGATATCTATAGCATTTCCTTCCTTCATTATAAATAGCTAACATGATGCTCTAACAACATATTTTAA